GTTTTCTTACCTATATATTTATTGGTCTGGGACTGTAAATAAATAATTTTATTTTATTAAAAATGCTTGGGAGCTGTTAACATACTAACAGATGTTGGCCTAGAAACCAGGAGACTGTGAGTTCTAGTCCTGCCTTAGGCATAAAAAACTGGCTGGGTGACTTTGGACCAGTCACTCTCTCTAAGCCCAACTCACCTCACAGGGTTGTTGTCATGAGGAAAATAGGAGGAGGAAGGAGTATTGGTATGTTTGCCACCTTGAGTCGTATATGAAAGAAAAGGTGGGATAAAAATCTTAAAAAAAAAAAACAAAACAGCCTGAACTCAAGACAGCTTCTCACCATGGCTTCATGTTAAATAACAGGGAAACAAGATGGAATTCTAGGATCAATAATAAATGTTTTACACCCATTCGAGGAAAAAAATAAATAAAGCCACTGTAATACAATGCTGCTGAGTCCCATCCCAGACAGGTGATCCAAAAATGTACCAAAGCTGGTAGTTGTTGAAAGCCACTAAGAAATCCAGAAGAACTAACAGGTAAACACTTTCCTAATGGTCCCCATGATCCTCTTGGTGAAAACTGATATGGATCCACAAATCCTTCTCATCCAGAAACAATTGGAAGCAGAATAATTACACAAATTCAGCCATGTTTAAGAATAATCATCCTTTTAGCATCACCACCTACATGCTGATACAGATTACTTTTCTAGATCAGGGTTAACAGTAAAGAGAATAAACGGAGGTCTTCAGATAATGGCTATTGGATATTACTGTATATTGGTTAGAATATTTTCTTCAAGTGAAGTTTTTGGAAGAAAAACCTGTACCTGTCTACTAAGAAAAGGCAACATGGTATCCTCCAGAAGGTTGAATTTCAACTCCTAAGAGCAATCAATCATGGCCAATGGTAAAGGACACTGAAAGGAACCACATTGCCTACACTTAAAATTAATAGACTGCACTTCCTAATGACCTGTTTTAAAGAACAAAGAACATTAATTGGTTTTGTGACAAATACGTCAAAACATGCAATGCATTTTGCTCTTTAATAACATAATCAGTTCCAAAGCTGTAATAAATTTAATCTAATTTTAAAGCAACTAGAAAAAAGATAATTTATGGCACATAGGTTCATTGTACAAATGAAATGTACAAAATATACTACAAACTGAAGACTGCTTAATAAATGTATGATTTGTATCCTCCTTTTAACCAAACTGGAAAGAACTGCAAACCAAAATATGAATCTTGTGTTTACTGTAATTCATTACTCAAAAGCAATTATGAATAATAGAAATGCCTCATTAAGCATTATAAATAAATAATATTCCTTTGAACAGTAACTTGTGAAACTGGATTTTTCTGGATGTTTAAAGAGGAAACAAAACCATCCTATTTTGATATACTCTAACCTGCTATGATTAAGGCTCATTAAAAGATTCTGAAATACCATAGGCTTTACTTTATTTTTGTTTTTCCGACACTGTGGTTAATGCAATGTTTATGAAGGTGACATAACCTCAGAAAACAGACATTCAAAACAGCACATGATTAAATTTAATGCTATAGGCATCATAAAGCATTTACATGCCTCACACATTTTCATCACAACATTTTTATTACATTTTCAGCTAAACTGCTGACAATGTTCCATAAGAAATTTGTATAATTTGCACCATGTACCCTGTATAAAATTTGTATGCCCCAACTGTTCTATTTCACCATTTATTTTCACAGCTAAATATTATTACTGAAACAATAATCAATTGTTTATTATTAACATTAAAAATAAAACCAACTAACTGCAAAAACTCTATTTATAAGCCAAGTTGGCCAATAACTCCCAAATCTTACAAGAAATAAACCCTCATTCTCAGTTTGTGTAGAACTAATATGTATCAGGTGGTTTTGTACCTTCTTCAATCAAATACAAAAGCCCCCTTCCCAGATATCCCCTTCTTCCTCTCACCCAAAATCCTTCTTCAATATGGAAAACTGCCTCTGGGCATTCATCAGAAATCACTGAATCAAAAAGTCTAGTGGATTTTGCCAGCAGTGAAAAGCCTAATCATGACACGATCACACCAGCTGTCAAGTCTAATTAGCAACATGCCTTGTCCTTTTCACATTCAATGGAGAATGTTGAGCTACTTCAATTTTTACACCTGATCGTGGATTTAAATTTGAAAACACAAACAATGCAGAATAGAAACTTTTAAGGATTGCAGCCTGTGTGGTTTTTAACCACAAGTTTTTAAATGCTTTTACTGGGGCTTTTTTTTCTATGCTGCCCAGAGTCCATCAAAGTCGGATAATTAGAACGGATGCATGTGTGTGTGTATGTGTGTGTATGTATACATGCTTGCATGCATTGGTGATAGATAGATAGATAGATAGATAGATAGATAGATAGATAGATAGATAGATAGATATAAAGAAATAAAAGCTGTGCAGAACTATGTGCCTAAATGAAGTGGAAAGCAGTTATTGTCACCCTGTCTTCCTCTGCAGCACTCTGCTGTTCAGAGAAACAAGATGCCATGTTGACTGACATACCATGAAACTGTTGACTGACATGCTGTTTTATGAATACAAGCAAACTAACATATAGAACTCCCTTTGATATATTTGCAGACCAAAGTGGAACAGCACACAAAATAAATTAAAAATAATAATGCAGCCAAAGGTTTGTACCGCACTAAAGTACACTAGGAAGAACCATATTTGTAGAAGATAAAGAACAGTCTAATTGCACAAATGATATACTGACACAACATCAGGTTCCATGAAATGAGTAACAAAACCACATGCATCTAATAAACACATTTATCGCTGAAACAAAATATGTAACTTATCCTTTCTAAATATTCTGCTTTTAAACAATGAGAGTTTAGAAACAAACCAAGCAAGTTTTAGCAAATAAATGTAACACCCAGAAGTATATGAATATTTTTTATTCTATTTTCTGAATATCATGCAAAGACCTGGCTCTTTGTTAGAGCAGCTAGAGCCTGAAACATGCAGCATAGGCTTTTAATTTGTGTTATCTTTTCTTTCTGTATGTTATACTATTGTTCTTTTATAGTAATCTTAGCTGCCCAGAGTCTTTGGAGCTTGGCAGGATATAAGTTTAATAAGTTAGTACATAAGTAAAATACATGCATACATAAAGACATTAGAATTCAGAACCAGCACAGCTGACAAAGGGAGCCAGTTTGGTGTAGTGGTTAAACCACCGTACTAGTAACTGGGAGACCATGAGTTCTAGTCCCACTTTAGGCATAAAGCTACCTGGATGACCTTGGATCAATCTCTTTCTCTCAGCCCTAGGAAGGAGGCAATTGCAAACCACTTCCGAAATCTTACCAAGAAAACTGCAGGGATTAATCCAGGCAGTCGTCAGGAGTCAACAATGACTCAAAAAGAAAAACCCTGACTAAACACAGGCTTTACAATGAAAATGGCCAATGTCAATTATTAGTCAAATGTGAGTCTGAAAATTCAGTTCTGCTTTCTTCTCAAAAATGATTAAAGAGTCATTTTTCAAGTAATGTACAGATGCATTAAATCAGTGGTCTGCTTCCCATATTGCTGTAGATTTCCCTTAAGTTTAAAAAACCAAACCTTAAGCATATTTACTCAGGCTACTTATTCAATGGTCAGAGAATTACTGACTTCACACATTTGCTTGTGGACCTTCTTAAGAGCTACTGGTTGGCTGTTGTGGGAAATGGGATGCCGATATGATCAAACAGAGCTCTTTTATATTAATATATAAGAATGCTGCAAGTTTTTCTGGGTATTAACAATAACGGCAGAAATGTGGTATTTCCAAGATAGTATTCAATACATGAAGATGCCAAACAATCACACTAGCTGTATTAAAACTAAATTGTAAACACTGCTCCTGAATATTTAAAAAATGCTATTTAAAAAGTTGTTCTGTTAATAGTTCTATCAGCAAATTTCTGCAAAATAACAGTTTTAGAATATATAACATATACTGAAAACCTTTTGTGTCTTATTATAGAAATATCAATGCGTTAAATCCTTGTAGGCATTCCACATACTGTATACAAAGCTGTTTTGTTTTAGTGTTAAATTCAGAAGGGAAAAAAGTTAAGAACTAAACTCCATACCAAATGATAATTAAAAGGGATCAAATAGAGATAACAGTGTTATTTCACTATTTTCAAATTAAAAATTAATGGTAACTATTTAACAAAAGTGAAGTTTCCTTTTCCTAAATATCCACAAAAATAAAAATACATGTATTTCTGAAAGCCCTGTATTTTGTTCAAGCTAGCATTCAACAACTCAGGTATCACAGGAATGTGCTATTTTTAATGTATTATTTTTACATTTTTGAACCTACAGAATACTACAGAAATGGAACTGGAGTGGATATTAGTAAAACACAGAAGCAAATGGCAATCAAGCTACTTCATGCCCCAAACATTTTGACTGATGAATCTATATTTTATAGTGGTTAAGACCATTTGCAATGTAGAATTGTTTGAGGAAAATAATCTTATAACTTTCATAAAAGAAACCCCTTGATAAATTTGATAATGTAAAATTGTTTGCCTTGGTGAAAGCAAAGTAAAATATTTTTACTTTAAAAACATGTTTAAGAAATTTTTAAATATATGTTTAGAACTGTCTGAGAATGCCAAAGTACTATGCATAACTTCCCTAGATAGTGACTATAAAATCCTAAAGGTTTTTTTTTTTTAAATTTTCATATGAAGTCATGTGAGATTCTGGCATTCTCACATTATATTGTAGAAAATCCCAGGAGCAAAATCACCAAAATCTCTCAAGATATGGCAATCTTACAAAATGCTGGTTATTTTATTTTACTTTATTTCACTTTGTTTATTTTCTGTCTCCTTAACCATGCAAGCTCAACTCAAGGGTGCCCAAGATTCCTGGTTTAAAAATACAAATTAACTTAAAAATAAATATACTGTTAACTGGCAATTTGCCACATACCCCATTTTCTGTACGTTTCTCCACAGGTATAGACATTCCATTTCTATGATTTTGAGTCTGACGCCCTAGGGAAAAACACAATTATAACATTTAGTTTTCCCACCTAATAGCTATTTTTAGCATTGGTAAAACTTTAGACAGTTTAAATATAATGTCCAACCTTGTGCGTTGATTTGGCAAGCACAATTTCAGGTGTTGAAGAGAAGGAAAGTAAAATGTTTTCCATCTTTTTTGTTGTACAGATGTTTGTTTTTCTACATCTATTTGAACTTCAGTTCAATAACAACTCAAGGAACATCACTGGAATTGATGTTATCTGAGTTGTAATTATTATGTTGTTTTCCACACAGTTATATAACTAAGCTGGTAAAATGTTTGTTTATTCTACCCTCTCCATAAAAACTATCACCACCACTGCTGCTAATTTCAACCATACCTATTTGTGCAAACAACACCCACCACCATCGTGCCATTTTATTCACAGAAGAGAATGTCAAAACTTAATTTAGCCTGAGTTTCTACCAGCCACTGTGGAGTATTCACTGCCCAACCCTTTCCATGTAACAACTTGCTTGCCATGATTGCTATTTCTCCAAGGAGAGTAACAGTTAATTTGCTTGAGTATACTGATTATAAAAACAAGCAGCCAATCTAAATAGCTATAATTTTTTTTAATCAAAAAAATGGCAGCTGGTGCAGCAGCAGTGGACTGTGGCTGGAAGGGGCCAGTGGAGCCTGCTGACATCTCCCTGGGTGGCAGCCAAGTGGGATTGTGTTGTGCGGTGGTCCCTCCATTGTGAAAGTTCCTTGGTGAGCAGGTGTCAGGCAGCAGACCTCAGTGACGCTATGGATCAGCTGCCTTTGCTCCAGCTGATAGGCAGTGCGGATGAGAAAGTGGCGGTGGCTATGAGGTCCTGGCTGTTGGAGTCCCTGGTGGAGTGAAGGGCTCAGCTGGCCAAGCAGTTTGTGGCAGCAGGAGCAGGAACAAGACAGTGGACCTGTGGGGAGACTGTCTTGTGTCTTGAAGCTGCTGCTCAAACAGCCACATGGTAAAGCAGCCATTTCAGTGGATTGCCTTGCCTGTCTGGGAGGACTTGGGAACTTGGGACTGAAGTTGCTGGCAACCGGATTAAGGACATTTGTATGGACCAGGAACTTTTATATGGTTTGGTAGTTGGAGTGGGGGCTGGTGTGACTGGGCTTTCTTGCTCCCCTTGTGTGAGATATGGGGTGGGCTGGGGGTGCTGCTGTCCAGATACTTTCAGGGTGCATGGCTTCTCCACTGCCTGGGTGAGGCGGGGGGTGAAGGAAGGTTTGGTTTTGGGTGCTGGAGAGTTGTGTGAAGGAAGGTTTGTGTGAAGTGTTTGGATGGAGGCCTGCTTGGGTGGAGGTGCTGAGTGTGTTACAAAGCACCAGAGCCTGTCTGTCTAGATTGTTTAGGTTGGATGTGGATGGCTCCCAGTGCCTTGGGGGTGGGAGGCTGTGTGGGGGGGAGACAGATAGGGAGACAGGGGAGATGGTAGGGGAGAGCATTGGAGTGGTGATGGACATGGGGAGGTACAGCAGAAGACGGGGGCGGCTGCTCTCAGGGAAGGTGGCCACAGTGTTTAATACCATTACCGCATTCTGGCCCCCTGTGCTCAGCCCCAGGACCTGGTTTCTGGAGCTTTGGTGGCTCTGGTCTCTGGCTGCCTATTGCCAGGTTGACCTGCAATAAAGCTCACTTCATCCAAGATCTGATTGTGGATGGGAAAGCCAACTTGGCTTGTATCACTGAGACTTGGTTGGACACTGAAGTGGGGGGAATTCCCCTCTCTGAAATATGTCCTCCTGGGTTGCCTCCACGGGACCTGCCCCAGACATCACTGGTTGTGAGACCATCTTTGTGAAGCTGGGCCATAGGGATCAGTGGGGATTGCTGCTCACTTACCTTCCTCCCTGCAGTGTAGCTGCATCCCTGCTTGTGCTCTTGGACTTTGTATCTGAGCTGGTGGTAGAGTCCCCCAGGCTTATGGGTCTAGGGGACTTCAACCTACCATCTCAGGACCCGGTGTCTGAGGCAGCACAGGAGTTCATGGCCAACCATGGCAGCCATGGACCTGGTTCAACTTATTAATGGCCTGACTCACATGGAGGGCCACACAGTGGATCTGGTGTTTGCCTTGGGGCAGTGGTGTCATGATCTGGATTTGGGGGGGTGTTAACATCAGTCCCATGCCATGGACAGACCACTCCCTGTTGGCCCTAGAGTTCTCAGCAGCTGTCCCTCATCACAGGGAGGTGGGGCTTATTAGACCAGCCTGGCCCAGGTGCCTGATGAACCCAGTGTGGTTTCAGAGGGAACTTGGGGTTTGGATGCCCTCATTGCTGCTTGGAATGAGAAGGCGACCAGGATGCTGGACCAAATTGCACCTGTGTGGACTCTGTACATGAGGATCTCGTAGAGTGCCATGGTTTACTGAGCAGCTCCGAGATGAAGCAACACAAGAAATGCCTAGAGTGCCACTGGAGGAAAGCAAAGAGTGAAACCGACTAAGCACAGGTAAGAGCCCATATTAGGACTTACCTTGTGGAGATAAGGGTGGTGAAGTGTTTCTCTGCCCTTATTGCATCTGCAGATAGCCATCCAGCGACCCTGTTTTGAGTGACCAGGTCCCTCCTGGGTAAGGAGGAGCCAGGGCAGCTCCTGCAGGGCCGTTGTGAGGAATATTCTTGGCGTCTGCCAGATAAAGTCACTCAACTTTGCTCAAAGTTGCACTCTGGCTGGGCAGATCCTTTGGAAGTGACTAAGACATATCTGAGCCCTGTTATCTGGGAGGAGTTTGAGCCAGCTGATCCTAAGGAAGTGGACAGGGTCCTCTGGCTGTGAGTTCAGCCACCTGTGTTTTGAACCAATGCCCCTCCTGGTTGGTTAAGGCCTCCTGGGAGGTAGCATGTGACTGGGTCCAAGTGGTGGTTAATGCCTCTTTGCAGGAGGGGTTGGTACCACCTGCCTTGAAGGAGGCACTGTTGCGTCCCCTTCTCAAGAGGTCATCCTTGGACCCAGCCGTATTAAACAACTTTCATCCAGTCTCCAACCTTCCCTTTTTGGGGAAGGTTGTTGAGAAGGTGGTTGGCACACAGCTTCAGAGGGCCCTGGATGAAGTGGATTATCTGGACCCTTTTCAGTCTGGGTTCAGGCTGGGGTACAGCACTGAGATAGCATTAGTTGCACTTGCTGATGATATTTGGAGGGCTTGGGACAGGGTTGGTGCAACTGTCCTGGCTCTCCTGGATCTCTCAGGGGCTTTCAATACCATCGACCATGGTATCCTTCTGGACTGGCTCCATGGGTTGGGAGTGGGAGGCAACGTTTTATGGTGGTTCTCCTTTCTTCCTGGCCAGTTGGTGTTGGTGAGTTAGGGGAGGTTGAGCCCTAGGCCCCTGCAGTGTGGGGTACCTCAGCGCTTGGGTCTCTCCCCCTCCTCTTTAACATCTACATGAAACCACTGGGTAAGGTCATCTGATGGCACAGGGTACAGTATCATCATTACGCTGATGATACCCTGCTACATATCTCTGCCCCTGGCCGAGCAGGTGATGCTGAACCAACTTCAACTCAATCTTGGCAAGACGGAGTGGATCTGGGCTTTTGGCCCCCCAGAGTCTGGTGACTTGTCATCTTTGACTCTGGATGGGGTTGCACTTCCCCAGACCAAACTGGTGTGCAATTTGGGAGTCCTTCTGGACTCATGGCTCCTGTCTGATGAGCAGGTGACAGCTGTGGCTAGGGGGCTTTGCACAGATCCATCTTGTGCGCCAGTGCGCCCTTTCCTGATCTGGGAGGCCTTGCTCACAGTCATTCACTCCTTAGTTACTTCCTGTTTGGATTACTGCAATGTGCTTTACATGGGGCTGTCCTTGAAGACCACTTGGAAGTTATAACTGGTCCACAATGCAGCAGCATGCAAAGTATTGGGTGTTCATAGGTTCGCCCATGTTACACCTTTATTGCATGAGCTGCACTGGCTCCCAGTTTCCTTCCGGGTGCAATTCAAAGTGCTGATTATCACCTTTAAAACCCTGCATGGCATGGGACCTGCTGATTTGCAAGACCACCTCTCCCTAAGAATATCTGTCCTACTAGATTGGATAGGTTAGGCATGCTCCAGTTCCCTTCCCTGAAATCCTGCCATCTAGTGGGACCTCAAAAGAGTGCCTTTTCCATGGCTGCCCCTACCTTATGGGACCCCCTCCCCCTGGTGATTTGGCAGGCCCCCATCCTTTTAGCTTTTTGGAAGGCCATCAAGACCTGGCTTTTTACCAAGGCACTGGGATAGGATGGAATGGAATAGAAAGAATGGAATGAGAGTAATTGGAGCTTGCTGTAGGACATCCTAAGGGGATGATTAAGGTGCAGGATTTTTGTTTTTGTTCGATCGTTTTGTTTCATTGTTTTATGGTTATGTTTTATAGTTACTGGTTTTACTGCTGTTGTGAGCTGCCCAGAGTTCTTTAAGATGGGCACCCATACAAATCTTTCAAATATATATATATAAATGTATCTTTTATATATTAAATATGTTTTAAAAATGTTTTGAGGACTTCCAGGGAAGCAATGGAGGTGATTTCGCTTTCAGTGGAGCCGACAACCATGGCAGAACGAGGAGCTGACGAACAGACTGGCGCCTCAAAATTTCTCCCCAGACAAAGGGGAAGACTTGGGATCGCCCACAGGACTCCTTACAGAGGCTCCCTGCGACAAGACAGCGATCTCCAGCAGGTTTTAGAGCTCTGGAGCTGGGAGAGTTAGCTTGCCCAAGCTGCGGTTCACAGCCTTCAAAAAGACATTGGGTTCACCCCTTCCTTTCTTATGTCAGGTTCAGCCGGCACGGCGCTCCTAGGAAAGCTCGGCCGCTGTGCTAACTCTGCTGCCTGCTTGCAAGCTGGGGAAAAGAGGAAGTGCGAGCTGCAGCTGATTAATGGGCCACCTGCACCTAGTCAAACGGGAAACCGCAGAGTGGAAGCATTGAATTTACACTGATAAGCGGCGCGAGCTAACAATGAGCGGAGCCGCGAGCGGCGA